TTCTTAAACAAAATTTTATTGCAGATTTGGACTCCAAACCCAGAGTACAACCCAAACGTGATTACTAGAGGCACTACATTTTGGTGAGTGCTTCCAAATATCTGATTGAAGTTGACATTTGTGTTTAATACTTGACCAATGTAATTACATGATATATGAGTGAATTGATAGGGTAAGAGTGTACTTTATCGCACTTGCCCTAATGTGATTTGTCCTTGTTCATCGATTGCAATTGACTTGCTATACATGCATATGAATTGTATCTTGCCTGGAATTCCAGAAATCCTGTGGCTAGTTAGTCGAGTCGAGCCGGCAAGGGTCTGGTCGATTAGATAATGAACCCTGAGTAGTTAGTGATATCGAGTGGAGTGTTATCTCCTCGACTAATTGGTATACTCAAGTATTACTACCAGTGTTTATTGTGGAGTTCGGGCCCAGTAAGGGGTTTGATCGGTGAACGGACATTGGAGTTAAGTGGTGTTCTACTGGACTATATTCTTACGTGAAAGTTGACGGAGTGTCATCTACCAATCGATCAAGCTATGGTGGAACCTATATACGAGCAACTATATCCTTACATGTAAAATGCGAAATATTTGTTCTTTGGCTATATGAAGTGTTATTACTCAATTCTTGACTTGTTTTGCTCGCTATTTCACTCTTATGCTACTTTTACTTTATTTGATGGCCAATTTGATATTTGAAACTTCATTGAGTTTTAACTCACTCCATTAGTTTTGTTTTCCTTACAGGGGTACGAGAGAGGCGTGAGACGTGTATAGACTAGCATAGGCTAGTTGTTTTGACTTTTGATTTATACTCGCGCTATCACTCGCTTAGGATGATTTGTACTTGGATTGTATATACTTTGAAGTATTTTGGGTGTATAGAGTTTTGTATCTGGATTTGTGCATCGATGTATATTATAAGTTTGAATTGCGATGTTATTTATTGTCTATGGATGTATGCGTGAGATACGAGTGAGTGAATCCTGACGAGAGTTGGGCAGGCGGTCCGCCGAACCCTTTGGTATGCCTTAGGGGGAGGTGGGGTCGTCACAGAATCACTCATATTGTTTCCGTTCTTCAACAGGTAATATTCCTAATTCAATATTTATATTTACATATACTGTCCTTTACATTCACTGCTCTTTTTCTTTTTTTTTTTTAACACTGACTCTTTTTTCTACCTTTTCTTCTTTCTCAAAGAAACCAATGACTGCTTGGATTCAAGGTGTTGTTGAGCTAGATTATGTACATCATAACTTAACTTATATAGCTTGTCCCCTTTGTTATTATCCAAGCAAAGGTGCAAGCAATTTTCCAGTTACATGTCAGCACTGCCACTCTAACGTAGATTTGGTTCCTAGGTAAACATAATTATTTACTTCTCTTGCTTCCTTTCATCACCAACTTTAATCGCTTTCAATTTCTAACTGCAAAACTACCTGCTTCTTCATTGCAGAGCTCTCATTGATAGAACTGGATCTTTATGTGCTACTGCTATGGATGTTGAAGCAGAGAGATTAATTCAGTATTCAACCGCGGAACTATACTATTTACAACAAGAAGTAACCACTGATACTTTTTAAAACTAAATATTTTCTTCTTTTTTTAATCCAATACAATTTTCTTGCATTATTTTTTTATAACAGGGCGTTGATCTTGCTCAATACCTTGCGCATACTTTACAAGGCAAGCTACTCATGTGCTACATTAAGCCCTCTCCTTCCAAATTCAACCCATGAAACGTGTAGCTTATGAAATAATCACATCCCACTCAATGGATGAAGTTTTTAATGCTGAAAATATTAACATAAACAATCTTAACATCAATGGTTGACCTTTTACTTATTTTTCCTACATTACTGTTGCCTTTAATGTGTTTTCCACTATGTATATTTAATCATAATTACTACGCATTATAACTATATTTGCTATTTTATTCTCTTTACCTTTATATTCCTCCTTTATTACATACTTATTTATTTTACAATAAATTCTGATTTCTACACTAATTATCTGTGATTATCGCGATATTAAAACAAATATAATTGAGCCAAACATACAGATAAAATAATTTCCAGTTTCCAAATCAATTTTTACTATGCAAACAATTTAACTTAACTAGCAAATCAAAATACAGTCAATACAAACCAAAAAATCAATAAGTATATAAACAATCAAGTTTTTCTCAAACAAAATTCCTCCTAAGCACTTCATGCTTTTTTACTTACGCTAAACAATCCTACACATTTCTAGGCAATCCTTAAACTTATACCGTGCATCGCGCGGTACACACCTCCTAGTCTACACAAAGCGTGAGACCTACAATGGATTTACCAAATGTATCATTATTTTTGTTTTTTTTTTTTTTTGCTATTTTACTCTTCATAATTTGCAACAAATAGATATCACTCTGTAAAATATAATCCCATTTAAGGTTAAAATATCCAAATATACACAAATATTTCTTAAATTGTTAGGTTTCTCTAAGTTATAACTAACTACCCCACCTAATGTATTAAATTTAAGCACAAATATTTTACTTTGGCAGATATCTTTAAGTTATAATTAACCACCTTACCTAACTTCCTAAATTCAAACACACTAGTAGAAGTGTGCCTAAAGCACGAGTAAATCAATAGCAAGGCCGTAAAATGTCTGATTCATAACCTGTAAAACATATTTGGATGAGGAAACATAGTTCCGATTTTTAAAAAAAAAAAAGAAAAAGAAAAAGAAAAAGACAACTGCAAATTTCTATTTGTGAATATAAGTTACTGTTTAGGAGACATAATTTCCAATTTTATTAAAAAAACCTACTAATATTAATATTTATTATTCTATTACACTATTGGAAAAGACACTAAAAAACCTAATATGTCACTAGAGTCAATACAAACCTACTAGTTAGTAGGTTGCCCCAATATCAACATTGTAGCATTATCGATTATTTTATCAGTACTTGTGATCCTTAGATCAAGTCTTAGTTCTAGATTTGATAATAGAATTTTTAATGCAGCTAAAGTTCCGTTTCAATTATACATTGCTAATAAACAAAAAGTTCCACTTCATTACACATAGCTAGTAAACAATCTAGTTTCTTGATGCGGATAGTATTTTTACTAATTGATCCGTGCTTAATGATGATGATCCATATTCACTGGTGGCTTCTTCTGCAAGTTTCTTCCAATATTTTGCCTTTTTTCTGAGTCTTTTTCCTTGCTCGCCATTCATCAAATCCCGTACAACTCTCTCAACTTCATCCCTCTTGACTTCTTGCTCTATTTCGAGGCCAACTTCCCACTCTGAGCACGCATACCTGCAGTTAATCTGTTGATCTGCATTAACTGGCCAACAGATCATTGGAACTCCAGATGATAAACTCTCAGTTGTCGAATTCCAGCCACTGTGTGTCAAAAATCCCCCTACCGAAGGATGATTGAGCACTTTCTCTTGTGGGCACCAGCCAGCTAGAAAGCCTCTATCTTTAGTTTCTGCCAAAAATTCATCTGGCAAGGCTGATGATTTCCCATCAACCAGATCAGGCCTTATAATCCACAGGAATGGATGTTTGCTATTAGCTATGCCCCAACAAAACTCTCCCAGCTGCTCTGGAGTAAGGACTATGACACTACCAAAGTTTACATAAAGCACAGAACTATGTTTATTGCTGTTGAGCCTCTGAAGACACTCTGCTTCTTCTTTCCACATGTTACAATCAAGAGTGTTTAAGGGGTTTTCTTTAGGAATCTTATTCAGGAGCAAGCTAAGGGGTCCAATAGCATGAACAAGTGGGTACTTGGAAGATAGAAATTCTAGTATCTCTTTCTCTAAGGCATCGAAAGTGTGGATAATTACTACCGAAGCTTTTGAAGCATCCTGAGCCGACTCCATCAGAAAGTGAAACAGGACATCATTAGGATCATGGTTCAAAGTCGCGGTCGCGGTCGCGGTCGCGGCTTGGAACGTTCCACATCGGTCTCGGCATATCGGTCACGGTCTCGGTGAGACGCAAATTTTAAAGAATTTAATATTCTAAAAATTGTTAATAATATAAAAAAAGTATGCTAAACAAAAATAATAAAAAATAGCCAAAGAAATGGCCGAATCAATCCGTCGCGGTGTAACTCGGCCGATTTCTCGTCTTGACTCGGAATAACTCGGAGTGACTCGATGTGACTCGGCCGAGTCAATCTGTCGCGGTGACGTCTCGGCCGATTTCTCGACGAGATGAGTATCTCGGTCTCGATTCGTCGCGGTCTCGTCTCGGACTAGGCCGAGACGGTGACGACTCGGCCGAGTCGTCTCGGTCTCGGCCGAGTCTTCGAACCATGATTAGGATCAGTTGTTCGGAGAAAGCCTGGAAGATCTTTCAGACAAATACACTTTTCTGCAATCCATTGTATGCTAGTGTTTTCCAAGTAACCATTTTTTAAGTAGCTCGCATCTGCAACATCAGAGATAATCACCAAAGCTAAAATGTGTCCTCAAATTCAAATCTTTTTCATACTACTCCTACATAGTATATAATGTAATTAACCACTGAATTTATGGTAAATTACATATAATTCCCCTGTAGTTTTGACTAATGCCAAATGACTCCCTTTAGGTTTTAAAAAAGCCGCATAACCCCCCTATAATTTCATGTAAAATAAAAAACGGACGGAATGTATAATTAGTTACGGTGATTAAACCATATGCATTCTAAAAGTATATGTGATGAAATCAAAATATCCACTTAATCCCCTATGACTTGTACAAATATCCATTTTATCTCCTATAATTTTTGTATTTATCCACATAATCCCTCTATAGTTTTATACAAAATGATTAAGTCATCATTTGCTTTAGCATTTAAGCAAGGGCAATATTGATATTTCAACTAATGAAATTACTTATGCTATTTTTAATTAAATTTTCAATTTATATGAAACCATAGAGAGTGAATTAAATATTTTGAAATTATGTGATAATTGATGAAACCACATAGGGTTATTAGTAATTTAACCTTGAATTTATACTTGTACCTCTCAGCGGCGCCAGACCATTTTCAAAGAGAGAACAAAACTTGTAAAAGCCCATTACTCCACTAGCTGCCAGGGTGAAGACAGCAGCAACAGGAATGCCAAATTCTTCAGCTGCAGCAAAAGTGAAGGACATTAAACCATCAGCGACTATGCAAGTCACTGGAGGATTTTCAGTGGAGGGATTCTCGTTGAGTTTCACAAGGAGGTTCCTGAAGGGAGCAAGAAAGTTGTGCGTAATGGATTCACAAAGAGCACTAGCGTCTTGGCTGGAATCTGAATCAGAAGGAGACAGGCCATGTGGGATAGTTTCGGAACGGAAGTCCGGCAAGCACTCCAGAAAACTCGGACCTTTAGATCTGAGCAACCGTTTGTGGTTGAAATCTGTGTTAACAAAAGTAATGAAGAAGCCCCTGTGGTGAAGGAGTTTAGCTAGATTCATTGTGGCTTTGATGTGGCTTTGATGTGGATATGCTATACAAACTGCATGGGGCTTAATTGCCTCTGCCATTCTACAGATTCAACTCCACTGTCTTACGGCTACAGTGTGGGATGGGTAGCTAGAGGAAAAATTGGGCTGGAGAGGGGGAGAGGACGTTGACTAGCTATGCTTGGGTCTTTTTAGACTTTTTATCTGGGGCTTTGTGGACTTCATTTTGCGTGTAAAATATTGGATCAGACCTCCCAAGTTAAAATTTGTCCAGTTCAAACCGATTGGTGTAATTGCTACAACGTTTGGTACAGAAGCGTACAACTTCAGGTTTGCAGGGTATATGTACTCACAATCACCGTCTGCGTTGCTGCTTTCCTCCAAACAATATACTGCACGCTTTTGTAAAAGACTATCATCTTTGTACAAACAGGTCGCTAAGTCCTCTTAGACATATTTATTAGGATTATGAAAATCTGTAAATATTAAGAATATGAAAACATCTCGCTATGTCAGTGCTCTTTATCTATGTAATATAAACTAGCATGGGTCTGGCCGTGCTACGCAGCGGCCTACCCACTGATATGACCAACTAAATCTGTAACAATGAGGATAATTTGTTAAAAGATCATAATGTATATATAGGTTGAAGAGGTAAATAATATGCAAATCACAACCATACATTACATAAACTAAGTCATTCATGTCTTAGTAGAATACATATTTGAGTGCTAGCCACAATTACATAATAGGAGGCTTAAATAAGCTTCATTGCCTATTGAATTACAACATTGTTGGTTAAACTATTAATAGTTATATTAGGATCCATTACTTTTCAAGTCAAAAGAATAATGGATCATAATATAATTCAAAACATATTGTCTAAGCAATGAAGGCAAGCACTAAGGTAATTAACAAAAGATTTAACAAAAGTACAGAATTAGGCCATATCAGTCTTGCTAAGCTTTAGCTTTCTTTGCTAGACTGCCTTTGATATTGCCAAATACTGTTTTGCAGCTTCTTTCGCAAACTATTCAGGAGCCTTTGTTGCATGTTTAGTAGGTGTGTCTGCTGGTAAAGCTTGATTTTGAGATGAGCTTTCTTGAAATTCAAGGCTTCTTTTTACTCCACTGGTTGTAGATGTGCGGCTTTCTTTGCAAGAACTAGCTGCATCAATTTCTTCAAGTACCAACTTTGTGGTTGGTGTGAACATTTGATCCTTTGATGATTTTTCTGCATGCTTTGCTGATGAACTGCCAAGTGGGGAAGAAACTTCAGTGTTTTCTGGAAGTGCTAGTGGAAGTGGATTATGCAATAGTTCAGCTGCAGTGTAAGCCTTAACGACAGTATTCTTTCTTTGAAGTTGACCTTGAAAGGGTGTCTCATGGGATTTTAGAAAATAGACCACTGTGTACTTTTTCAAGGCATCATTAAGTTCAGTGTCTATTCCAAAGCCCTACACCAGAAAATTTTTTTGGTTAGGTTTAGTGAATTGTTTTGTATGTATATTTGTATTTCTGGTTGAATATAAGACAGAAAATTTTTACTTACATCTTCTTGTGCTTGCTTAAGTTGCAGTGGAGTGAACTCAATCATTTTTTCAGCATCTTCTCCAGATATAATGCAATGTATTGAGCTCGAAGCATCAGTTATAATAATTGGAATGTGAGCCCTTTAATTGAGTGAAGGAATTAAGATTAATAAATGGTAACAAATTGGAATAATGTTTAATTTAGAAGTATAAGTTAATGGTCTAACTTGAGTTCAACTTCACTTTGTTGTTTGCATGAAGGACAATTGATGATCCAGTCAATGTCAGCAGCATTTACAATTTTGTGACAATTCACACAAGCAGTTGTCCAATATTTGGTGAATCCATATGCAAGTTTGATAGTTCCTTGCACCCAAGCTGTCTTTTGCTGAGCGAACCAAGCATGAATGGTATTTGAATGTAAGTTAGAGACAAAATAGTTATATTTAAGCGAAATTTTTAAATAACAAATGACACTTACAATTGAAAATGATGCTTGAACATTGTTGATTGCTTTGATATCTTCTTCATTTGGAGGAAGAAGTAAACAGTTTGGATCATTGTATGTTTTACCATCAAGCAAATTTCTGATTTCTTCCTTGTTCAAACTAAACCTGAATGGTTATGTTTAGAGCACAAATAAAAAATTTACCAGTAAAAAAAATTGATAATTTATGGTAAAAAGTAAAAAGAAAATTATATTTACCATTGCCTGAAAGAGAGGTCATCTGGGAGTGGAGGATTTATCAGAATTCCAGATGAATACCTTGTAGTGAATGACAGAGCTGTAAAAATGATAAAAATTTTTAGTAATATAACATATCAAGTACTTAGAAGTCAAACAGTAAAGCAATCATAATGCATAATGAAAATTTTACTATTGAATGTGGTCACTTTGACACTGAGAGCTATGATTAGAGGGGCAGTGCTAATCATGTCTGCTATTTTGCTCCCTTCATCATGTTCAAATTCATTCCAAAGAGTCATAAGCATGAGTCTTTTCCTGTCAGGTATAACAAAAAATTGTAACTGCTATCATTAATCTAAAATGACTTAATAAAAAAATAGTATTCAGTTTTGATTTACTCTTCATTCACTATTATAATGTCTCTAGAAGTACAATCTGGATCCGCTTGTTTTACTGGTAATGCCTGAATCACAAAGCCTCTAATATCTGAAATAAAAATATTGATATGAATGTAAGCAATCAATAAAATATCAAATGATTGTCAAGTAAATTAAAAAATAATGTAAGAAAAATTACTGCAAAGATTATCTGAATCAGCATATTTGTGCACATCAGAGAACTTTATCAGCTCAAATATGCAAGGCAACATAGGCGGCGCACAAGTTCAGTATAATTTTCAATCAAAGTCTTGTAGTTCAAAATCCAGGAGCATTCATAGGTCCCAACTTTGTATGTTGGGTCAGCAGGAACGACAATTGCATTAGAAACATAATATCTTTGATAAGGCTGGAGAAATTTGCTGAAGACCTTGATGTGTTGTTCATAGGTCACAACAGAAACTTTTGTTCCCTGATTAGGATTACAAAAAGTTAGTGTTATATATATAATGAGTTAAAACCATAAGTGTCATGTTGATGGCTAACATAATATTTATCACACATAAATTAAAATTATAGGTATGAATACTTTAATAGTTAGGTGACTATTCACTCGCAATGAAACTATAGTTGTGCTATCATAGTATGTATAAACTTACATGAATACTAAGGATTTTTTCTTAAGCAAATGTAATGAGCAGACAAATCATGAAATGTTCTTATACAGATCGTGAAATGTTCTCATATATGAATCTAATGAGCAGACAAATAGGAAAGTATTTGCTAAGCTCAATATCTGTGAGCAGAAAGCGCATAATTCGCCGAGGCGGAACTTCACGAGTCAGTTGATTGTGGCCTCTGTGAACAACTTGTGCTAGAACAGTCCATTTTTCTGCTCCTTTCTGAATGTCTAGCACTGAAGATATATGTCTAGGCATGATGACCTATATTCGTAGAGAAATTAGAGAGTCAATTAAACAAAATAATAAAGTTCTAAACAAAAAAAGCCATGAATATTGAAACCTGGTAATGTAATCTGGGAAGCTTCAAGAACTCCTTTATATACTAAATTTTTAGTATGATCAATGCATGATTTATCAAAATAAGTTGGCCTGATAAGCACTTTTACAGCTGAAGCTGTTTTGGCCCTTGAAAGTGCAACATATAATTGGCCATGTGAAAACACAGGTTCTTTCAAATACATACCAACAAAATCTAATGTTTGGCCTTGTGCTTTATTTATTGTCATTGCAAAGCACAAACAAATTGGAAATTGTGTTCTTTTATATGGAACTGGATATTATTCATCACTTGGTGGCTACATGGAAATTCTATGTATAAAAACTTCTTTGCCACAAAAATCACCAACTGCAATTTTAGCACAAATAACATTCTTGCTCAAACTCTTTATTATCAGTCTTATTCCATTGCAGAATCCTTCAGTAGGATCAAGATTTCTTAAAAGAATTATTAGGGCATTGGGTTTTAACAGTAACCTATGTGGAGGTAAGTTGCTAGGTGTAAGAGTATTCAGGAAATCAATATATTCAGACTGATGATTTTTATTCAACGTTTCATCATAGCTTAAGTACTCAGTTAAATCTCCTGGAAATTTTTCGATCAATTGATCATTTATTTCATCTACAAAGCTATTCTTTGTAGTTAAAATTGCTCTATTTTGTGAGCAATACAGTTTCTTTGAAGGATCTTTAAATTCAGGATACACAATATTGATCACTTTTCAATTGCATCAGTCTCATCACTATAGTTAACTATAATTGAAGATGGAAGTTTTACCATATCATTCTCATCTGTTTCTTGTGTTCCATCTCCAATTTTTAGAAGAAACTGCGTGAATGAATGATCTAATTTTGCTCTCATGTTCTCTATTAATTGCAATTTTTCTAATTTGTGCCATAATGGAGATTTTATCAAACATGCATTTATCATTTTAGCTTTTGTTCCTTTTCAAACAACTAGCAATGTTTGTCTAAAATCTCCACCAAGCACAACTACCTTTCCCCCAAATACTTCTTCTGAATTCATTAAATCTCTTAAGAGATCATCTAAAGCTTCAATTGCTGCTTTTTTTAGACATTGGTGCTTCATCCCAAATTATTAGTTTTGCTTCTTTGATCATTGTAGCTAAAGAAGTTTGTTTACTGACTCGACATGTTGCACCATCAAAGATATCTATTGAAATTTTTAATCTAGAATGTGCAGTTCTTCCACCTGGTAAAATGGAAGCTGCAATTCCTGATGTAGCTATAGCAAGTGCAAGATAGCCTTTGGATCTAACATCAGCTAATAAAGCTCTATACAGGAATGTTTTTCCTATACCACCTGGACCATCAATGAAAAAAACACCAGGTCTATCTGAGTAAATTCTCTCATATATGACTATGAATGTTTTTTTCTATTTTTCATTGAGTAGCTTAATTGAATTCAAGTCAGTTTCTGAAATGACAATGTTTCTTTCTGCTCT